TGAGCTTGAGATAAAGAAAAAAGAGAAGAGACAGGTTTTTAAATTTCCACTCTCTTGAATTTCATTAATAAAGTAAAACCAAAAACGTATACAAAAGTTATGGTCACGAGGTATGAAATTACCAAAGCACCCTTTATGCAAGCAAGGCCTGGATAGAATGGACATATATGGTGAATTCATACTAGGGTTTGAATAATGCGAGACAAAACTTATTCCGATTTTTCTTTGGAATATAGTTTACAATTTAGTCCCTGAAAAGATTTAGAATTGTCGGTAGGCATGCCACTGTAGAAAGAGCAATCTCATAGAAATGGACAAAGCTTGTAATGGTAATTGGGTCATTAAACGATTATCAACGAATCTTAAAAGCTTAGGCAAAAGGAAAAGGTGACAACATGAATGAAAGGAGAGGAGGTGGAAGAAAGAAGGGTTCTTCCTTTCTTTCCTTTTTATTTTCCCATTTCTTTTTATATTCTCTTTTCCCAAGAATTTTTTTTTTGACTAACTTCGCAAACACCAATCGCATACCAACGTGTATCAATATACTGTATAAGTCAAAGAGAAGATTAATATTGATAATTAAAATATGCATTAGTTTCTCGTTATGTAGGGCAGCCAAATTATACCTTAGATTTGTGGGATTTTGTATATAGCAGAACTTATATGATATGATAACCAGAATTATTTATATTAGTAATGGCACAACAAAAATATGGAGATTGCTATATACAAAATCCCACATGTCCTCTGAATAATTATATCATGTCATTTAAACTGGAATGAAGAAAGTAATTAATATATATGAGAAAAAACATAAACTTGAGTCTAACTTTTGGTTTTTAACATATCTCGTCTAAAATTATGTATTCATATGGAAAGTTATATATAATGCAGAAAGTAATCCTCAATATCATGTGGTACGTCATCACGATTTTTCTCAGGGAACGTAGAAAGAAAGACATATCATAGACAACATTGGGAAAAATGAGGACAGTATGTAGGAGAAAAACCTAGACTAATTGGTTTCAATGATAACTTTAAAAAGAAAGTTCAAAATTGTAATCCCCTGATGTTATTTGGTAGCAAATCGCAATTTTTATGATGGAAAGATATATAAAAAGAAAACGGATCCTTAATTAGTGCAGGCGGATGTCTGCATGGTGTTACGACGTGCAGAACATGTATACATGTACGCTGTTTTTTCTTTTAACGCTTTATTTTATTAAAATTAATTTAGAATAGATTACATCATTAAAAAAGTTCAACATATACGATACAAAGAGAAATTAATGGTTTTTTCCGCACCAGAAATTAAGTGAGGACAATAATCGTTGACGACATATTAGCGATACCAAAATGATCTTGTTTCGAATCGAAGGTAGACGAGTAGGTGTTCTCGAATCCACAATAGCAGCCGGACATCCAATATCTATTACGATAATATGACAACAATTCTCTTACTTTAGATAAATCTCATTCTTTGATTGCATTTGTCAATTTTGTTCCAAGTTAGCTTAAGTGAAGCCGCCGTTGAATAACTTTGAACTGCAAAACTTAAATCAAATAGATAGCCAATATTGACTAGATACTAACAAACTATATATAGATCTTCTACGAGGAAAAAGAAACCTCAACCAAAAATTTCAGGCATAAAACTAAAGCCAATAAGGGAATCACAAACTAACCTCAATGAAGGAGATCACAAACTAGATCTAAAAAAGTCAGATGGTGAATAACATCGCATCATCTTCGAATAAAAAAAAATCTCATGGACATTTCTTAAACTCCACATCGAACATAAAGTTATAACCATCTCCCTCTCACGAAGCCGGTAAAAACACCAGACATCGGAGAGGGAGAAAACTCAAATCACCTTTTTCTCTCTTTTTTTCTCTGGCGGCTAGGGTTTTCAACCTCTCTATACATGTACGCTGTTTAAACATCAAAAAGAAACATATATACATAGATCATGTATTCATATATAGATTTGACTTTACTATTCTTGTGTGCTTTTTTTAATTGTTATACAATATTACCTTAAAAAAGCATATTATATATTATATACACAGGATGAATAAAAGTACAAGCGCAGATTAAGGGGTGGCGTTAGCGTATGGAAGAAGCGATCCGTTGGTGATATCTTTCGGTGTATCAACAAAACTGAAACATAAAATAATATTCGGCTGGTTAAACAAAAGAATAAATACTACTAAATAATATTCGATTACGGAGAGGCTGTGCATGTCTCCATTACGTGGATTGCATGGGTCCCTCGCTTTTGCGGAATGATGCGAACGAGAACGATTGTACGTCGTGGTCTTTTTCGTCATTTATTTTCTCTTTTATTTTTCCTCAACTGTTAATTCTTTATGCCATTCACATTGACAATTGATAAGATACCATGAGGCTTGTACATAGCAAAATAAGGTATAGCAGATGCAGGCCTGAGCAGATGATGTATATATAAGTAAACTTTTAGATAAAGACCTGATTTCTATATGTTAAAATATACCGTGGATTGTTCACCATTTCTTAAATATATCAATCCATAATATATAGATCTATTTTCGCAATTGTTTTTGTGTTTATTATTGGAGTTGCTAGAGTGGTTTGGACGTGATCTTATACTCTTTCAAGTAGGATAGTTATAAGAAAAGTTGTTTTTTTGGTCGAAAAGAAAAGTTAAGTGATTATATTTGTTTTATATATATGGAAAATACGGAAAACAAGTGGTGAGATAAGTTTACTCGAGCATAGACTTGGATCGAGCATGAAATAAATCGTTTTGGTTTGGTGTTGAAAGATCTTTCCAATCTCCATATTGTATTGACAATAGTAACGAAAGAAACGTCTACGGATTTCGTCTTCTAGATTCTGATAAAATGAATTTGAAGTTTCAAACTCTCTCGATATTATAATATGTCATCATTCTGGATGACGTCGTGACGATAGATTTATCCTTCACTATATATAGTAAAGGATCAAAACTTTAATTAAATTATAAATGAATTATATAGTTAAACATAGATATATGTATGCAAGCGTGTGTTTATGTGTATAAATGTAAAGGTTGTTGTATGGAGGCCACCAAACGGGTGATATCGATAAGTCATATTTTGCTTCAACATTTAGCGAAAGGCATGATGACCTAAAAGATTGGTCCCATCGTGATCTCCTATTTTTAGACAAACTTTTTATCTTCACTTTTTTATCTACTTTTATTTTTACTTTTACCTCCGAAGCTTTAGCCTATATATTTATTTTCACAATGTAATGTATATTTTTCATTTCTAAAATAATGATTTCATAAAGTTTTTTTGGGGTTATTTCCACCCATTTTCATTGTCGACACTCTTGAGGGCCACAACCCACAACAAGATATTTGAACTATACCACCAACGGAGACATAAAGAGGTGGTTTAAGGAATTTAAACAAAGGCGATTTTTCTTAATCAGTTGAACTATTAAGGAGGAGAGATAGGAGAAAAGAAATTAGAAGCAAAGCTATAGTGTTTCTTTTCACTAAAGGACTTTTTTTTGTCGTCAATAAAAGGACATATTTAATATGCTTTGTAGTGTAGCTTTCACCAGTCAAATTGAAAAAATGTTAGGGAAATGATGGGGGACCGTAGGCATCCACTACTTTCCAACCAGACCAACCCAAAACGATTTCATGACAATTATTTTACAATGATGGCATGTGATGTCAAACAGACGGTAAATGGTCATGGAAGGAAAAATGAGTTTGCACAGATATTTCTCTAGATTAAATGGAGTCTTGGCTTTATCCTTGACAATGATGCTTCATCAAAGTTTTTCTTTAAAATTTTTTGTTTTCTAATTTTTAAGTTACATAGATGATGTATA